ATAATTATAAAAGCGAGATCTTTTGTGGCAAAGCTGTCTCTGTAAACGCTGCAGGCGTGAGCACTGCTGGCGGGTATTCTCAGGGCAAACTAGAAGAGGGTTAAAAGAATGTCTCAAAGTCCAAAAAGCAGCGGCACCTCAGAGCAGCTGAAACTCCATCCTTCCCGTGGTGGCATCATCTGCAAGGTGGGGTGGCTACTTTTCCTGAAGGAGATGCAGGCTGACCCCACCTGCTTTGAGTCCAGACTGACCACTGGGATCCATGAATGTGGCAGCTGACAAAGTTACAGCAGCCCCGGGGCTTCCCCTATCCATCTCTTCCCCACCCCCAAAAAACCTGCTTCTGCCTTGAGGACAAGTTCAAGCTAGCCTGTTGGAGGATGAGAGGACATGCAGAGGAGACTTGAGGAGCCTGAGCACACAGCCAGTCCAGACTCAGCCATGGAGAGAGCCAGCCTGGACCTGCAGCGTCACCCTGCTCCATCCTCTGATGACCAAAAAACACGGGACAATGGTTGATACGGATTGTTCTAAGCCACTGACTGTTGGGTGATTTGTTAAGCAGCGATCACTGACTGATATCTACCACCCAGGCTGCTGTGCAGTGGCACAGTCATGGCTCACGGCAGCCTTGACCTCCCAGGCTCAAGCAGTCCTCCCTATCAGCCTCCTGATTAGCTGGGACTACAGGTGCATGCCACCACTCCTGAATATGTTTTGTATTTTTTGTAAAGACAAGGTTTCTTCAGGTTGCCCAGGCTGGTCTTGAACTCCTGGGCTCAAGCAATCCGCCCACCTGGACCTCTGAAAGTGCTAGGACTACAGGTGTGAGCCACCACATGCAGCGCTCCAGGTTTTCCCTTATTATGTGATGTTTAATTTTTTATAACACACTTTGCTTTCATTCATTTACCTGCTAAAACCTTCTTTTAGAATAGTAAATGTTTGATGTCTATAGTTTTATAAACATTTATTTTTGGCTAATGTCATATATTTAAGGACTTTACATCTCAAACGTGGCAAATATTTAGTTTATTTGATTTTTTAATGAGATTTGAATACTTTAAAAATAACATGCTTTTCCAATATCATGAGAATAGATAGCAGAAGAACAGCCACCATGGCCACAGCCTAGGCGACACTCAAAAATGTGACAAATCCCAGGTCAGCGCTGCCTGACCCAGACCCTGGGGTCCTCGTCCTCCTGCCCAGCATGGGCGGTGCTGGCTGTACGGAGGCCAGGGCCAGGATTACAGGGACTGAGCTGTGTGATTAGGTGCATTCCCAGATGACCTCTGGGCAGAGGCTGCAGCTCCGAACGGGAGGTACAGGGACAGACCAGCCTCACCCTTCAGGCCGGAGGGGAGCCAGGGAGTAACCAGGCTCCAGGTGGAGACCCCTGCCTCCTTCCACCGGCGTCCTCCACCCAGGCTGGTCCTCCTGCTCCCTGCCCCCAAACCCCAGCTGCCACCCCACAGGGGTCTTAAAAAGTTAAAAACCCAGTTCTTCCTAAGTTCCTAAGTTGCAAACAGAAATCTTACTATTATTTTATTTTATTTTATTTTATTTTTAAATTGCAGTAATCATTTTCAGGCCAGGTACAGTGGCTCACACCTGTGATCCCAGAACTTTGGGAGGCCAAGGCAGGTGGATTGCTTGAGCCCAGGGGTTTGAGATCAGCCTGGGCAATGTGGCAAACCCCATCTCCACAACAAAATACAAGAATTAGCCAGGTGTGGTGGTGAGCACCTGTGGTCCCAGCTACTCAGGAGGCTGAGGCGGAGGTGGCAGGGAGCCCTGATGGCGCTACTACACTCCAGCCTGGGCAACAGAGTAAGACCGTATCTCAAAAAACATAAAAAGTTATTAATTAAAATGCAATCATTGTTAATGGGGGAATAGCTAAATTCCTTTAAACATTTTAGATCCTTATACCTAGAATACAGTACAATTTTTTTAAATATATATTTTATTGCATTTTAGGTTTTGGGGTACATGTGAAGGACATGCAGGATTGTTGCATAGGTACACACATGGCAGTGTGGTTTGCTGCCTTCCTCCCCATCACCTATATCTGGCATTTCTCCCCATGTTATCCCTCCCCAACCTCCCTACCCCCTACTGTCCCTCCCCTATTCCCCTCCACAGACCCCAGTGTGTGATGCTCCCCTCCCTGTGTCCATGTGTTCTCATTGTTCAACACCCGCCTATGAGTGAGAACATGTGGTGTTTGATTTTCTGTTCTGCTGTCCATGGAATAAGGACACAAACTCATCATTTTTGATTGCTGCATAGTATTCCATGGTGTACATGTGCCACATTTCCCTGTCCAGTCTATCATCGATGGCCATTCGGGTTGGTTCCAGGTCTTTGCTATTGTAAACGATGCTGTAATAAACATTCGATACGGTTCAGTTTTTTTAAGTACTTCCATCACCTCAAAAAAAAACCTTCTCAGGTACTTATTAAATACTTCTTCGAATTTTAGTGAATTAAATTGATAAACATAAAAGAATCTTTAAATTCCCTTAAAATTCCAAAACTATTTATATGCTTAGTCAAGTTACAAATCTGAGTCAATTCTCTATTACAAATCTTAAGCCAGAATCAAAAGGCTAACCTATTGGATAGTGTAACATGCCACACTCTCTTAAACATTGCAAGTGCTAAAATACCAAACAGAGAGACATGATTTCTAAATTTGTTAACAATATCTGAACACAATCATTTGGCCTCCCTGTGCCAATTCTGTGCATGCGCCTCTTCTCCCAGGGACAGGGGAAGTGGCTCCCCAGGCAGATGATGGTGTGGGTTCAAGCTGCCTTTCTCACAGTCCACACGGTGAGGCTCTTCCTAACCACTGTGAAATGGCTCCAGAACCAAAAAGGGTTGGTCTCACAGTCCAAACCAGTGATTTTAGATCCAGTCATCTCTCAGTGCCCCAGAGGAGTCTGCCACCCTGGCACCAAACTGATATGAATCAAGACTAGATGAGCCCAGCAAAGCCCAGCAGACCACAGTCAACCAGAAGTCCTCATAGAATGTGATCCATAAACAGTCATCATAAGCCACCAAGATACAAGGCATATCAGTGTGATTTCACACCGCCGTGAAGAAATACCTGAGACTGGATAATTTACGAAGGAATGAGGTTTAATTGACTCAGAGTTCCCTGTGGCTGGGGAGGCCTCTGGAGATTTGCAGTCATGGCCAAGGGGGAAGCAAACACGTCCTTCTGTACATGGCGGCGGGAAGGAGAAGTGCAGAGCAAAGTGGGGGAAAAGCCCCTTATAAAACCATCAGATCGTGAGAACTCAGTCACCACCACGAGAACAGCATGGGGGGACCTGCCCCCATGATCTAATCACCTCCCATGAGGTTCCTCCCCCTACATGTGGGGGTTACAATTCAAGATGAGATGTGGGTGGGGACACAGAGCCAGACAATATCACGACGCTTGCCTGTTGCCGCAGCAAACGCTGGCAGATGTCCTTTTGCTGCTTCTCTTAAAACATAAAAATGTCTTCTCAGCTGGTTTTGCAGACACTTGAATGCCACCTGCCACTGCCTGCAGCCTCTCTGTCACTCCAACTGAGTCCTTTGAACTCGGATTCTTTCCCTCTGCCCTTGTAGGACAGGACAACTCCCTTGGGTGACCAAGTGGCTTCCCAGTGAATTCTGCCTGTCTCTCTCTGCTTGGAATCATGCTACACACAGCTCTCCAAAATATGTAGGGGTAATCATGTCAGTCACTAGGCACGCAATTCCAGAACTTCACGGCACCCCACCTGGGTGTGAGAACAGCACCTCCCCACCTGGCTCTGTGACATGGGCATGGGTTCTCTGGGGCAGGAGAGTGCCTCCTGGGTAAAGGCATTTGGGCGAGGCTCTGTGCTAGAGTCCCGTTCAGGGACATCACAACACATTAGCCTAGTAAAGGCTCTGGGAAGTCCTGCTGTGGAGAAACACATTTCATTGTATTTGACCCTGTGTTTCCACAGACATGTCACACTACAGAGCTGACTTCTCAGGCCCTGGTGAAGGGCCATCATTCCTCCTGCTAGAGCCTGGACCATCATTCCTCCTGCTAGAGCCTGAACCATCATCCCTCCTGTTAGAGCCTGGACCACCATCCCTTCTGCTAGAGCCTGAGACACCATCCCTCCTGCTAGAGCCTGGACCGTCATCCCTCCTGCTAGAGCCTGGACCATCATCCCTCCTGCCAAAGCCTGGACCATCATCCCTCCTGATAGAGCCTAAGCTATCATCCCACCTGCAAGAGAGCCTGTGTCATCCCTCCTGCTAGAGCCTGGGCCATCATCCCTCCTGCTAGAGCCTGGGCCATCATCCCTCCTGCTAGAGCCTGGACCATCATCCTCCTGCTAGAGCCTGGGCCATCATCCCTCCCGATAGAGCCTGGACCATCATCCTCCTGCTAGAGCCTGAACCATCATCCTCCTGCTAGAGCCTGGACCATCATCCTCCTGCTAGAGCCTGGACCATCATCCCTCCTGATAGAGCCTGGACCATCATCCTCCTGCTAGAGCCTGAACCATCATCCTCCTGCTAGAGCCTGGACCGTCATCCTCCTGCTAGAGCCTGGACCGTCATCCCTCCTGCTAGAGCCTGGACCATCATCCCTCCTGCTAGAGCCTGGGCCATCATCCTCCTGCTAGAGCCTGGACCATCATCCCTCCTGCTAGAGCCTGGACCATCATCCCTCCTGCCAAAGCCTGGACCATCATCCTTCCTGATAGAGCCTAAGCTATCATCCCACCTGCAAGAGAGCCTGTGTCTGATTTTCAGCCACATCTGCCCTGCAGCTTCAAGGGAGGTTTCTAAGAATCTCATCAAGCTCCACAGAGCCCCCAGTAGGCCCCTTGTGCCTCCTCAGACAGGAACCCCAAAACAGTGGCTTTCTCTCAAGGCTTGTGATGCGGAAAGCAGAAGGCAGCACTCCTACCATCCTCATCAGCACCACCACCCTCACAATGGCCACTGTCCCTGCGTGTCCCAGGTCTCACCTCCACCCTCACTGCAGCCCAGTCAGCCCAGCGAAGCCAGGACACTGTGGAGATGCCTGTAAGTGTCCTCGCCCCCCCCCCCCACTTTTCACCAGCACCAGGGCCCAGGTGCAGGAGGGGCAGCCTCGTCTGATTTCATCAACCTCACACTGGTTCACATGTCTAAGTGCACAGGATCTCCTGGAGCGAGTGACCCAGCTCCAAAACCACACCCTAAGGGGCTGCTTTCGGAGACCACCTTGATCGGGGCTCCCCAGAAAGCAAGCACAGCCTAATGAGCGAGGGCTTGGGGCCATTATCCTAACAGGAAGAACAATCCCAGGAGAAGTGTGACCAATGGAGAGAGGGAAGCCATAGGAGATGGCCTCAAGGAAGATGAGTCACCAGGTGTCCCCTGCACGTGGCCCAGGGAACCCCATGCAGCGATCTGTGCCCAGGACCTTTTGTGCAACAGAAAAGGAGAGGCACTCACATTCCCCACTCCCCCGGGCTCCTGGGCACTGACTGCCCTGCGGGCTCTGGGCACCACCCTGCAGTTTCTTCCTCAGGGACCTGGGCAGGAGGCAAGAGATAGCCCTACTGTGTCGGATGCTGCTGTCTGAAGTCACCCAGAGCCCACATCAAATGGAGAGAAGGGCAGGTGAGGCTCAGAGGGTCTAAGATGGAGCATGGTGGGCGTCTCAGGTGGCAGCTAGTTGGCTAGGTATCTGGTTTTAGGATGCCAGTGTCAGACGTCATGGGCCCAGGGCTGGCCCGGTGTCTGCATGCTGTCCTCCCGTGGCTACTTTTGTGCTACCATAGCTTTGCAATCTGAGCCCTTTTCAAAAAACATCTTCAGCCCCCACTCTGGGGTGATTCACGGCCAGCCTCGCCTCCACTCTGCAGTGCTGGGGACGTGCTGCACGTTGGGCTGATCGAGGTGCTGGGGAGAGGGTGGTCGACGGGCCGAATCCTGCCCCAGCAGCCGGCACGCTCACCAGGGAGAAACACAGGCAAGCACAGCCTAATGAGCGAGGGTGGACCCCTGTGCACGGCTCTTTGTGTTGCGAAGGCCCTGAGGCAGGAACTGCCTGGCATGTCCAGGGGCAGCGGGGAGGCTGCGGTGTCAGGGTCCGGGGCTCAGCAGCTGCTAGGGCTGCAGGCCTGGGGTAGGTCCCCATCTCTCCGTCCCTGGGCTTCCTGCTTGCTGAAATGGTGCCGGTTCTCACCCCCACAGGGCTGCTCTGAAGGTGGCGGAGGGTGGGGCACACATGTCTAGTTGGATAAACGGTGTCTCCTGGGAGAAGCCAAGCCCCAGTTGACCAAGAGGCTCAGGGCCCAGGAGAGGGAACAGGCACAAAAGCAGAGGACCTGGGCTTTGGGATGGGAAACAACGGGCTGCTGACTGCTCTTCTCAGTCGGCCTCATCCGGGCCCCACTTCAGCCCCTGGGGTCCAGCTGTCACAAGAATCCCACTAAGGCAGCTTCGAGCCAATCCCCGCCCTGGACGGGGGATCTCTCTGCCTTGAGCAAGAATCTGTGAAGTCGGTTTAGCACCAATCTCCCTGCCCTGATGCCTCCCCCTTGTCATTTTCCATCCATCCACCAAGCCCCTACCCGGCTCCCGGGCTGTGAACCCCACTTGTCCTGGCATCTGGGATGGAACCGTCTCTCTCCCCTATGCAATAGTCTTGAATAAAGTCTTCCTTGCCAAGGGTCAGAATAAATAAATTTTCTTTACCAGGGCCCCTCCTTTCCTGGTCACACCAACCCAAACCCCGAGGAGGAGAGGGAAGCCAGAGCCCCACCATTCAGGGGCCAGCCCGAGGTCATCGGCTGTCACCTCCTAAGTGCACCCAGCTGACGGGCGTCCCAGAGACCACCAAGGCCACCCCACCCCACCCCCACCTCACGGGAGGGGCAGCCTCGCCTGAATTCATTAATCTCACACTGGTTCATGTGTCAAAGTGCACGGGATCTCTTGTAAAAATGATCCGGCTGCTAATTAGGCTGTTTATAACTTGTTTCCCTGGTCGCTAATGATAATTAACATGCAAATTAGCTCAGGGAGGGGAGGCTCTGGGGCCCCCGGTTCATTACCACGTTAATTACTGTTTGCATACTTAAGTATCACAGATATAAATGGCAGCATTTAGTGTAACGGGCAAGACGATAATTATACCAATGGCATTTTGAAAAGTCATTTCGCTGTGTTATTTTTCTGTGTGATTAATGATTCCGGGTTGCCTGGTTAATAAAGTTCGTTAGTTCACACCAGCGCCGGCTGTGTACACAACCGGCCCCCAGCTCCCCGCCCCACACTCATCAATCTCGCCCCAGGGCCTGTTGGTTGGGAAGTTTCAGGGAAAGGAAAAGACAAAGGAGAACATGGAGCTTCCAGGGCTTCTCCGCGGGACGGAAGCAGAACCCTGCCCTGCCCAGTTGAGTCCGGCCTGTGACTCTCAGCCGACCTCATTCCAGGGAAGCCGGGCTCTCCCCTGCCCAGTGTAACGCAGAGGTTGGAGAAGACGCCTCTGTTCAGCCTCCCTCCCTCATTCCTTCCTTCACTCCTTCCCTTACTTCTCTTCTACCTGCCAGGCACCTGCTGGGGGGCGGCAGCCCCTGCCCTCTTCACCCACACACCAAGGAGGAAACGTCACCGATGCAAAGAGTGTGGGTGGCAGAGGGAGCGGGGCCAGGGAGCAGCAGTGGGGCTGCGTGAGGTGGGAAAGTCGGCCACAGTCTGCTGAAGGAAGGACTGAGTCCAGACCTCCAGGCAGTGGGGCAGCAGCCAGCAGTGCAAAGGCCCTGGGGCAGGAACAGGCTGTGGGGAACAGGATGGGGTCCAGTCCAGGAAGGGGTCAGCATGGCTGGGCTGAGTGGCCAGGCAAGGGCACAGATCCCCAGTGTGGAAGCGGACGGGACCACGGTGGGCAGCCTGGAGTGGGAGCCTCACAGGGGTGAGAGAGATGAGAAGCCATCATGCCCAGGGTATGCCTTGGTGGGGAAGCTGGAGGCCTGCAGATGGGCAGGTGTGGGTGTGAGGACAGACGAGGTCTGGGAGGGGCTGTGGGGTTGTGGCCCCTTCCTTGACCTGGCCCTTCCCCTGGGGCTGCGTGGTCAGAGTCCCTGCAGGCCTCGTAAGATGCTGCATTGCTGAGTGTCCCCTTCGGCCTCAGAAACAAGCTACACAGTTTGGCAAAGCTCCTCCCTACCCAGAGTGCCGGCCCCGAGAGAGCCTCTTCCTCCAGCATCCCCCAAAGGCACTCTGCAGTCCACGGCTGAGCTGTGGGTCCACGAGAACCCCCTGAGCCTCCACGGTGCCAGGATGTGAATATGGCAAACCTGCTCCTCCATAAAACAGACACCTGGCCCTCGGCCTCACCCACAGCAGCCCCAGAATGCAAAGGGGCCCTCAGAAGCCACCCCTGCCGCTGAGATGGCAGCAGTGGGAGCAGCTGGCAGGTGGGGGCAGGAAGATGGAGGCTCCTCCCTCCACTGCAATATTGATCAAGGATGGAACAGGAGCCCCAGGGAATGAGAGGAGCTGGCTCAAGGGTGGAGATGGGCCCTGCCCCGCCTGCCGGCTGCCAGGCCTGCAAGAAGCTTAGCTCGAGAGGGAAGGCGTGGAGCAGAGAGGCCTCCCCGACCCCAGGCTCCTCCAGGGAGGACTGTGCACTTCTCTGCCTGGCTGTCCACCTGCAGGTCCTGCCTGTGTGGCCCAAGGTCAAGAGGCGAAAATTTCATCTGGTGATGGCCATGTCCCCCAGCCCCACCCTGGTCCCCTGAAGCTACCCAGGTCTCCTGGACAATACCTCAGGTAAACACCAGGGCCGGAGGGGCTCCCCTGAGCTGAAGTGCTCCAAGTCATGGGGGAGGGTCCTAAGCCCTGATAGCCAGGGCTCTGAGGGGCTCACACACCCTGGGAGGGCAATCTGGGTCACATGGGATAGAGGTGCCCCTTGGGTGGGGTGGGCACCTAGCCAGGGAAATGACCAGAGTTGCACCTGCTCCCAGGTCAGTAGAGCAGGGGAGCACCCCGAGAGAGCCCAGGGCCAAGGCCCCCCTTTTGGGGTTTGGGGTGCAGCCTTGAGCTGTTGCTAAGGCTTCTCCTCTCTAACCAGGGCTGGCTTAGCCAAATTCATCTCCTTCTCCAGGTGAGCACCTACCGGGGAAGAGGCGCAGGTGGGTGGGGAGGCTGCAGCCCTAGGGAAGCTGCGAGGAGGCCCTGCCTTGCAGAAGGGCATGCAGGCCTGGCTGGGCCCTGGGCCTGGGCTGTGGGGACCCCCTGCTTTGTGCTATAATGGTCAGGGGACAAGGACACGTGCACCACCACCCAGAGGTCACCAAGGCCCAGGATCCTTGCCACCTACGCTGGCAGCCCCCAGTGGCAGGAGCGTGTGGCTCTCCCTCCCAGCTGGGGGGGGATCAGCCTCAGGCTGCCAGCACTGGCGGGGTCTCCAGGGTCCTGCAGGAAGGGGCTTGGCAGCAGCAGCAACTCACAGCTGGTCCTGCCTCCCAGTTGCCGGCCTGACCTTCAAGGGCACTTGGGTGTCTGGAGGACAGGGGTTCCACTGACTAGGATGAATGAAGCACACCTGTTTGCATAAAGACCACGTGCCCTGGATTCCTCCTCCCCGTCCCTCTCAGGGAGGCTCTGAGGCGGCCCTGGGAAGGGTTCCTGAAGATTCCCTTGCCTGATGGGCATACCCGTGCCCACTCTGGGGGAGCAGAAGAGGAGCTCCAGACAGGCGGGAGAGCCCAGCCCAGGGTGGGCGCCTCGCTGCTCTGTGGCACCTGCAGAAAGGGCAGAGTGAGTGCCGCCTGCAGCCGTGCCTGAGCCAGCAGCCCATGCGAGGCCCCGTGAGCCACAACTGTGAGGTCAGCCAACTCCACCAAATCAACTGCTCTCACTGCTGGCTTCTCTGCTGTGCTCCTGCTCAAGCAGAACATTCTGGAGATGGCCCAGAGCTCCTCCCAGAGGGTGGCGACTTTAGCCCAGGCCTTCAGTGTGACTGGGATGGGTCCTGCCGGCGGCGGGCCCTCTGGAGGGCATCTCTGGTGGGGACCGTGTGCTCCTGCTCAGCCTGGCATGGGCAGGCAGGCCCTTTCATTTCTGCAAGTCTGAGTGCAGGGGGTGAGGGGGACTTCGCTAGGGGCTGACGCAGTGTCCTGCCCCTCCTCCCACCTAGCCAGGTCTGACCACGTAAACTGAGGCAGCCAAGCAGGCTCAGAGCAGGAGGAGCAGCCCCCAGGGTGTTGGGAGTAGCTCCTGAGTGCTTTTCAGGGGTCTCAGGACAAGTGGTTGTTGTGGGTGGGGGCCAATTCCTGCGGGTGGGGGCCGATTCCTGCAGGTGGGGGCCGATTCTGTGTGGAGCTGCTCAGTCCTGGCACCCAGGGTGTCAGTGCAAGCCCGTCCAGTCAGGGCCGAATGCTTCCATCACCCTCAAAACCTGTTTTCCCCCGAAGTATCAGATGAGCCAGCTCCCCACACAGTCAGTCCCCAATGGTCTGGAGCAGGACAGTGTGCAGAGGGCAAATGAGCAGCATGCCCTCTGCTAGCCTTGAGTTGGAAGTGGGGGAAATCCATTTGCCTCATATACTAAAGCAACACAAACCCGAACACAAGACCCCGAAACTGCCAGGCACCGGCCTCGGCCTCCCTGCCCAGCTCCACTGCCAACTTTCTTCTGCGGCCAAGTAAGAACCGAGAATGAGAAGTGGGGGATGGCCTGGAGGAGGCCCTGGGGTTACCTGCGTCCAGGTGTGCTGCCCAAAGGCAGGGGCTGTGAGGACCACCAGGCTCATCTAGCCGGTGCCTGTGGGCCCAGGGCAGGGCACCGTGTGCAGGGCAAAGATGCAGGGGGCCTGTCGGCGCTGCTGTGATCACAACTGTTGCGCAGACCTGCCACCTCTGTGCCCCAGGCCTTCCGCAGCCCTGGTGACAGCCCCACTCCATTACAGCTCCCGCCTAATTAGGGCAATTAAAATGAAAGTAATCAACATGGAGTAATGGGAAATTTCTTAATAAAGCTCCCCCACTGCGTTACCCACACAGGCCCTGGGCCCTGGTGAAAGTCAGGGAGCTGAAGAACTAGGCCAGGCAGCCCCAGCCCTGCTGACCCCCCTGCCCTGTACCCTCAGACTTGACCCTGACTGCTCTGCCTACACTGCAGGGGCTCCACAACTTCCCCAAAGGGCGGGGCGGGGGCGGGACCGAGGCCTGGTAACTTCCGGCCACAGTAGGGCGCTGCAGGACAGCCAGGAGGCCTGCAGGTGTTGACGCTCTCCCGGGAAACGCGGGCTGTGCCTTCCCCAACCCACACGCAGCAGTCTCGGGAGCCCCACCCAGGCCTGGGTCACCCAGCCAGCCACATCCCTCCGTCCCCCACCACCCACAAGGGAACCTGGGTCCACAGGGCACGAGCGGCTCAGCCTCCGAGCTGCAGGCCAGTGTGAGTGTGTCCATGGGTCCGAGAGGGGTTGCTGGGGCTGCGTGTTTCACGAGGGAAGAAAGGGCAACTCAGAGCTAGTTCTTCAGGTCAGGAGGCCTCAGGACGGGGAAGAGGGGAGTACCAGGGGCTGTCCCTGGAACCTCAACCTCAGAACTGAAACCCCAATGGGCCAGGGTGGCTCCCCCGACCCAAGGGCCTGGCAGGCACACTGTGTGTGAGAGAGTGAGCAGGGTGTGGCCCTGAGTCCAGCTGAGAGGGCAGCCTGCACTGACAGGGGGTGCGCCTTCCTGAGGGGCTCAGGGTTGGGAGGGGCCAAGGGTGGGATTGGCCCTGACCCCTCAGGCCACCGTAACCCTCCCACCATGGGCACTCAGGGGTCAGAAATTCTGAGAGGGCATGAGCTGGGCGGTGCCACTGTCCCATTCCTCAGCAGAGGAGTAGGCTGAGGCCCCAGATGTGAACAGTGGGAGGCAGCCCCAGCCCAGGACCCCCCAGTTTTCACCCGTGGGGTCTGCACTGACCCTGGGGGCTCAGTGGGAAGGGGCGGAGGTGCCTTGAGGCTGGGCACGGGTAGCCACAGGGAGGTGAACTGGCCGCCCTCTGAGTACTCACCGTGCTCCTTCACCCCCAGGTACGGTGAGAACTGGACATGGGCCCGTTGGGGACCCAGGCGTGATGTCGGCCCAGGAGCTGGTGGCCTGCCTCTGCCGGGAGGGGGAGCAGCACCTGGCGCTGGGGGAGCCGCCCCTGGCCACCGCTTTCTACCTGGCTGCCTTCAGCTGCCACGCCCCCTCGGCTGTGAGGAGTGTGCGCACTGCCTTAGCCCAGGCTCGGGGGGCGGCGGTGCTGGCCACCCTGGAGTCCTGGTGCCGCGGAGACAGCCAGATCCCCGCCATCCACTGGGACGGCATGGCAGTGGTCTCCCTGACAGGGTCGCTGGCCTCCGCCTTCCTGGGCGCCCTTTGCCCGGACCACCCAGCAGCCGTCCTGCACTTGCTGGCCGGTCTCCTGGCCCGCGGGCACCACCAGGAGGTGGTACAGCGCTGCAGTGCCCTGCTGGACTCTCACTCCCAGCAAGTCCTGGAGCTGCGGCTGACACGCGCCCTGGCCTGGGTCCTGTCCAGGGCGCAGGCTGGAGACGGTGTGGCCGCCTACCTCCAGGCCTTCGCCTCCAGCGCCGACAGGACAGTGGCTTTCATTCGCACCCACCAGCAGCCCTACCTCCCCGTGCTGCTCAGCGCCCTTCAGGACTACCTGTCAGGGCATCTGGGGGCTGAGCACAGTACCAGCCAGCAGGAGACCAGTGGCCAGCGACTCCTGGCAGCTCTGGACCCCAGGGGCACCCGGAGTGACACCCTGTCCCCTGAAGCTCTGCTCCACAGTGGCAGGTATGAGGACTGCCTGGCGGCCTGCAGCCAGACCCTGGAGGCCCAACCCACTGGCAGCAGACCCCAAGGTAGGAGAACGGTGTGGCCCTGCATAGCCAGGGTGAAAGCTGCCCCACCACCCCTCCCCACATGGTTATGTCCTGCTGTGATGGGGTGTGGCTGGGCTGGGGTTGGGGCACCTGGGTGACAAGAAAGTCAGGCCCTGCCCCTTTGGTGCACCCAAAGACGCAAACAAAATGCGCCCTTTAAGAAATGGGGCATGCATGGTACTGCTCCAGCAGTTGTTGTTACCCAGTTGTTGTTCAGCTCTTGTTACCCAGGCTGGAGTGCAATGGCGCAATCTCGGCTCACTGCAATCTTCGCCTCCTGGGCTCAGGCAATTCTCCTGCCTCAGCCTCCTGAGTAGCTGGGATTACAGGCACACGCCACCATGCCCAGCTAATTTTTTGTAGTTTTAGTAGAGACGGGGTTTCACCATGTTGACCAGTGCACTTTACAGTTTCTAAAAGAAAATATCTGAGAATGTCATTAAGATTTCTACATACAGGTGGGCGTCCTAAGATACAAAACAGGGGACCAATAAAGAAAAAAATGGCACATCTGATTAAATTTTAAAACCTCTATTTTGCCCCTAACTATGGAAACTGAAAGGATAGCCCACAAAAAGAGAAAAATGCTTGCAAAACACACAACAAGCAAATAAATTAGTATGCAGAGTATTTGAAGAACTCCTACATATCAATAAGAAAAAAAAATTCAATACAAGACTTGGCAAAGCATTCCCCAAAAGAGGAAACACAGATGGCTAATAAAACATGTGAACAATATTCAGCAGCATCGTAATGAGAGAAATGCAAAATTAAAACAATGAGAAACCATTTTCCACCCACCAAATTGGAGAAAAAGTTTAATAAGTGAACCTCACTAGTCATCAGGAAAATGGAAATTAAAACGATAATGTGATAGCATTTACATTCCCCACCAGCTAGTCAAACATTTTCTATCTAACAATAGATCTGGCTTCGCGTCATTGTGGAATAGCGTGCCTACATGTCCCACAGATGACAATTATAAAAGTTGGACAAAATATACAAAGTGACTATTTGAAGGCATGGGTTAGCAACCACATGTAGGCAGAAGCCAGCAGTTGACCCTTGAACAATGGTGGTGTGTGCGGTGAGACAAGCTCTTTGCCTAAGGGGATTCCTCAATCTGTGAGTCATGGTTCAGCAGATGCTGAAGTTCTCGTAACTTGAGGTATCATAGGACAGTTCAGGGTTGAGAAAAGTGAATGGAAAGTTAGACAAGAAATCCTGAAAAGGAGGGAGCCACAGAGGGGGTGTGGCCCCACATCTGTGTGTTAAATATACTTAAATCTTCAGCCCACTGAACTGCACATACAGGGGAAAGGCTAGGTGGGCTGCAAGAGCAGCCACTGGAAGCTGCAAAAACCAAATGGGAGACTTTGGTGCTGCTCACCAAAAAGCAACAGAATTTGGAGTTTAAACCCAGCCACTAAAACAAAACTCAGCCCTCTTCAGAGGAACGTAACTGAATCCAGAGTCTCTACAAAGTGTCCATCGTGCCTGCTGTGTGGGAAGAAGCTACTCTTCATGCAAAGAGACGGGAAAGTAAAATGTGAGCTACAGTGGGGAGAAGAAGAAACCCCCAGAAACTGACTTTGGCGTGATCCACATGCTGGAATCAGCAGACTAAGGAATGAAAGGGACCATGTAAATATATTCAAGGACTAAAGGAAAATACAGTCCTAATGACTGAACTGATGTGGAATCTTCCTAGATAAATGGAAAGTACAGAAACAGTCTGGGCATGGTTTTTCATAAAAAGGAGTCTCAGCACTTTGGAAGGCTGAGGTGGGAGGATCACTTAAGCCCAGGAGTTCAAGACCACCTGGGTGACAAAGTAAGACTCCATCTCTACAAAAAATTCAGAAGTTAGCTGAGTATAGTGGTGCATGCCTGTAGTCCCAGCTACATAGGAGACTGAGCCCGGGAGGTCAAGGTTACAGTGAGCCATGTTTGCACCAATGCACTCCAGCCTGAATGACAAAAAAAAAAAAATCTAGAGTTGAAAAGTGCAGTAATTGAAATGAAAATATTAGAGACAGCAGAAGGGTCGGTGAACTTGAGGACAGAATCAAAATTACTCCATATGAAGAAGAGAAGAAAAATGAACTGAGGCTGGGTGACCTGCAGGCAGTATCAAGAGGTCTGGGGTGTAACTGGAATCTCGGAAAGAGAGGAGAGACCACCCTTTCATGTGGGAAAGTAAACAGCCCCCCATTACCCCCAGGCCCCAAGTGTTCTCCCTGGTTGCAGCTCCCTGGGATCCATGAGCTATGTCTGCAAAGATCAGTGTTGAAGGGTCAGTAACTGACAGGAAAGGCTCAAAGTGTCTTTTACTTTGGCCACCAGGACTAGGCAGGGTGACCTGTGGCTGCTTGCCTGGCTGGCCTCCAGGCCCGAGACACCTTCTGTGCCGGACCCTGTGCTTACCTCAACAGCAGCAGGGCAGGGAGGGACAGCAGCAGCTTTGCTTCTGCACCTGTGTGGTATTTTGTCCTCTCCAGGATCCTGTTTGAATGCAATGGATTGTTGCTCTTGTAGCTATTACATGGGTTTATAAGGAAAAGCTGTTGGAAAATTCTGAAGGACTCGGTGCAAAAAGCACTGGAGCAGAGGTTGGGAGATCTGGGATGCACCCTGAGAACCTCCCTCCCCTGCAGCACTTTGAAAACCTGTAAAAATAAGGGTGGGGCCATGACCTGAAGCTCCGCCCAGCACCCAGTGTTCCCCGACTCTCTCAGTGGCCTGTGAGCCCTGCCTGGGGTCCTTTTTGGGATGTGGCGGCTCCACTTCCTTTACCAATCAGAAAGCCCCATTCGCGTTTGCTCAGACACGAACTGTAACAAGGGGGTGGGGGCGGGTGTGCAACGAGGGTCCTGGGGGAGTTGAGATGGAGATACTGCTGCCCCTGACCCCACTGACCCACAGGATGCGCCAGGCCCCCTCCAGGCACTGGATGTGGGTGAATCCGTTTAATCCTTCCTGCATGTGGATCATTATAACCCAGTATAGTGCAGACCAGGGAACAGACGCATGAGATTCCGTAAATGCTAGGTCCACCCTCAGTAAGTGCCAGCACTGGGTCCCCACTTGGCCCAAAGAAGGCAAGAAACGAAGTGCCCAGGAGTCAATGGTCACTGCAAAGGTCATAGAGTCAGAGCCTCAGCTCTGCCGGGGGAGTGGAGAGGCACTGATTCCCAGAAAAGGAAACTCAATCCTAAAACCCATTATTTAAAAGTCAGGCACAAGGAAAGGCGTTGTGACTACATTTGGTTTGCCCTGAGCGGTGAGAGTGACTCTGAGCCCACCCTGAGAACAGTGTCGCTGGCAGGCAGGGCAGCGGCCCACTCGCCACTTTACCAGCACGGTTCTCACCCTGCTCCGTCACTAATGGGCCTCGGGCCTCCTGCCAACTCGTGTCCCGGCAGTGCCATGCCCAGGGCCAACCTGGAGGAAGACGCCAGGGGCAGGAGGACTCACGGACCCCGGAGTCCAAGGCCTGGACCTGGTGGGGGCCTGCAGGTGGCACCCCCGGGAAGCCGACCCCCCGGAGGGGTGGGGACCCACACCTCTGCTTCTCTCCGCAGGTGAGCGCCGGGCCGCCCTGCTGGTCACCCGTGCGGCCTCGGCCTTCTTCTTGGACGGCCGGGCCCAGGACGTGCTTCGTGACCTGCAGGAGGCCTTCCGCGAAAGCCCTTCTGCGGCGCGCAGGCAGTTCCAGGCCGTGTTCTCCGCCCGGGACCAGGAGCACGTCCGGGCTCAAGCGCAGGAGGCCGCAGACTTGGGCTTCGCCCGTTTCCAGGAAGCCGTGCGGAACCATCCCGAGCTCCGCGAGGACGCGGACCGGGAGCTGCTGGCCCCGGTAATCCGCGCGCTCCGCGTCCTGCTTCGCCTGGCGCCCGCCGGGGCGCAACCCGCGCTGGGAATCCGCCTCGCCGAGTGCCTGCTGCTGTCGGGGGACGCGGCGAGCTCCAGGGCACTGTGCGAGCGCCTGCTGCGGCTCCCGCGCCCCGAGGACCCTGCTGGGGACCGTGCGGGGGACTGCGCGCCCCTCCTGGCCCTGCGCGGCTTCTGCGCGCTACACACCGGAGACTCGCGGCGCGCCCTGGAGGACTTCCAGGCGGTGGTGGAGCAAGGCACGCCGCACCTGGGTGGCTGCGTGCGCGCGCTGTGTGGCCGTGGGCTGCTGCGGGTGCTGGCAGGCAGCGCGTTCCTGGGCACACTGGACTATGTCACCGCCTGCAGGCTGCGGCCCGAGGACACACTGCTGGCCACCAAGGCCTTGGTGCCCTGGAACCAGCGGGGGCTGCTGCTGGCCGTGCTGCGGGAGGAGGCGCGCGGGATGCTGCAACAATCGCCGCTCCTCGGGCCGTCCAGAGCGCAGGGTCGCTGCCAGAGGGAAGCTGTGGAGACCCGAGGCCCCGCCGCGCAGGAGGGGTGAGGACCCGCCCGGCGGGAGCGCTGGGGCTTCTGTTTCTTGTTGGTCTCCTTCGAGGCAGCGAGGGATGCGTTTCCTCCTGTTTTGCAGAGTGGCGGTGACCTCCTGGGCACCCGAGGCAGGGCCAGCTCCGCGCGTCCATGTAGGGGCCGCAGTCCCCAAATGCAAAAGGAACATTTGAACCGCAACACACATTTCCTTCCAGGCCTTTCGTTTCGTGCAAGTAAATAGCTCAACAGCCTGAGGCTGGTGGGACACGCGGTTCCTGCGCTTTTTCTATGCAGTAGGTCAGAGCAACTCCCTTCGTGGCTAAATGTGCTTCGGGCAACTCCGCCCGGACCTGCGCCCCGGCTGCGACTCCTGCCAGCAGCCTGGGGAGTGTGTGTGTGTGTGTGTGTGTGTGTGTGTGTGTGTGTGTGTGGTGTGTGTGTGTGTGTGTGTTTTCTGAGATGGAGCTCTGTCCCCCAGGCTGGAGTGCAGTGGTGCGATCTTGCTCACTGCCACCTCCTCCTCCTGGGTTCAAGCCATTCTCCTGCCTCAGTGTCCCAAGCAGCTGGGATCACAGGTGCCCACCACCACGCCCAGCTAATTTTTGTGTTTCTAGGACGGGTTTTCACCATGTTGGCCAGGATGGTCTGGAACTCCTGACCCCAAGTGATCCTCCTGCCAGGGCTCCCAAAGTGCAGGGATTACAGGCAGTAGCCCCGCGCTGGCCTTTGTTCTTGGCGGCGCTCCAACGTGGGTCATGTCCTGTCTCCAGGAAGTCCTGTCCTGAGGATGGAGACAGGCGCGCAGTTCCTGAGTCAGGGAGCGGCCACTGTAGGATCCTTGACTTCAGGAGCTGCCATCCCCCCGCACCCCGATGCCCATTTTGCAAATTCTTTTTAATTTTACCTTAGCTTCTGGGGTACGTGTGCAGGTTATGCAGGGTTGTTGCACAGATGTATACATAACCAGGTGGTTTGCTGCCTCTATTCCCCTTTCACTATGTCCGGCATTTCTCCCCATGTTATCCCTCCCTACCCTCCCCCAATTTTGCAAATTCGTTGCCAGCGCAAAGCCCCAGCAGGTGACCCCCAGCTGCTCTGACTTCACCCCCTAACTGCTGGGAAGTGGCAGGAGGGGATTCAGGAAAGTTAAAAAGCACTGAGACTGGGGTTCTTGGGGGGCATCATTGATGTCAGCCTCCCCACAAGGCGTGTGTGTGCACGTGCACACACACACACAACACAACACCACACACACAACACAGACACACCACACACATCCCACACACACCACACTAGACAACACAAAACAACACACACAACACAAAACACCACACACAACACAGACACACAACACACCACACACACACACAACACAGACACACCACACACACATCCCACACACCACAGTAGGCAACACAAACACACACACCACACAACACACACACCCCATACACACCACACACACCCAACACACACAACACAGACACACCACACACACCCAACACACCACACTAGACAATACAAAACAACACACAACACACAACAGACACACAACACACCACATCACACACACCACAGACACACAACACACTACACACACACCACACACACCACAGACACAACACACACATCCCACACACCAGACACACTAGGCAACACAAAACACACCACACAAAACATACCACACACCACACACACACCCCATACACACCACACACAACACAGACACATCACATGCATACCACACACAGACACACCACACACAAACACAACAGACACCACACACACACAATACACACACAGCACACACACCATACACACCACACAGAACATATATCACACGCACCACACACAACACAAAAAACATACACACACACATCATACACAACACACAGAACATATATCACACGCACCACACACACCACAGACACACAACACACCACACACACATCCCACACACAACACACTAAACACACCACACACACCCCATACAGACACCACACACACAACACACAACACAGACACACCACATGCATACAACACACACACCACACACAACACACAACAGACCACACACAGTACACACACCACAGACACACCACACCACACACAACACACAACATATACCACACGCACCACACACACCACACACACACCAGACACAACACACACAAAAATACACAACACAAAAAAAATACACAACACACATAACACATACACAGTTCCTCTGCCTCCCTGGTGTTTAATGTGCATGGCTTTGGTTCGCTGGTGGTAGGAACTTTGATTATGTGCTGGCATTTATATTCATTCTCTGGGAATTGTCAAATTTGAGGCTCTGGCTCCACTTCCAGTGAGCGTTCATTAACATTCCCGTGTGGACACAGGAGCATGCCACGTGCAGCTGTGTGTTCTCTTGTTCTGCCTACACACACACCCCAGGCCCAGAAAGGCCAGATTGCTGTCTGTGTTTTTGCAGAAAAGGAAACTGAGGCAGGGTCCGCTCAGGTACAGCTCTGCCACTGCCTGTCTACACCACCTCAATCCTGCCTCCCACAGGGTGGGGGGACGGTGAGGGAGAGGGCGAGGGCCGCGTGCTGGGCAGGGCATCTTTGGCTTCTGGGGATGGCGTGGAGTGAGGGTCCCCCCAGAGGGAGCTGCCCAGGTCGGGTGCATGGAGATGGGATTTCTCCACGTCCCAATCAATCACCTGGGCAGGTGGAGGGACTGTCAAAAAGGGCAGCCCCCTGAGCCACTCTCCACACAGGGATGCCCGCGGCGTACACCAGCTGGCCACACTGCTAATGGAGCTGGACGCAGAGGACGAGGCCTCTCGCCTCCTGGCGGCTGATGCCCTGTACCGCCTGGGCTGCCTGGAGGAGGCGCACAAGGCCCTGCTGGTGGCCCTTTCCCGGAGGCCCCAGGCAGCCCCCGTGCTGGTGCGGCTGGCCCTGCTGCAGCTGAGAAGGGGCTTCTTCTATGACGCCAACCAGGTGAGGAGGCCCGAGGGGTCACACAGGACAGGTAGAAACAGGCCCAGCTGGGAGGAGGGCACAGACCTCCCGTGGCCCTGGCTTTGGAGCAGATGGACGGCACTCAGCCCCAGCTCTGCGCCCCAGAGTTCAGGCTATGCAGCAGGTGACGCATTCACCTCAGCTCTGCACCTGCTGCAGGCCCTCGCCTCTCTGACCTTCAGTCTCCTCATCTGGGTCCTGTACCACAGGATGTCCGGGAAGTTGGCTGGGGCAGGTCCCCAGGGCCGTCAGCTCCCCACCATGCGTAGCTGCTTAGTCGTACTTGCTTCCACTGTGGTTACAAAGCAGGAGGGCCAGGAACCCACCGCAGGCCGAGCTTCTTCCAAGTCTCTCACATTGACCAGGCCTGGATGCAACCCCGCCTTGGGGTGGGTAGTGGAGGGGCCCTTCCTGCCTGCGTCCAAGACCCCCTGCTCCCAGGAAAGGCAGACCTCACCTGCCTCGGGCTATCCCAGATTCCTGTTTGAACGGAGGTCTAAAGGTTACACTCTGGTGGGATTCAGGGTTGAGGATCCTGTCGCGTCTTCCTCCCCAGGGACCTGGGTCCTGATCTCCTTGCCCTGCCCAGGTTCCAATGCCCTGAACCTGTGTCCTCTTGCTCCGCTTGGTGAAACCTTGTGCCCACCAACGGCCAGCAGGGGGCAGCATTGGGCCTCCGTCAGATGGAGCCACGGAGAGGGGAGTTTAGCGGGTGGAGATCCCGCCTTGCCCAGAGACCTGGTCCTGCTTGGCCGTCCTGGGCTTTCGCTTGCACTCCCTGGTGCCTCCTGACCCTTCATGACCTGAAACCTCCTTCCTCTGCTTCTCATTTGGACCTTGCTCCAATGTGCCCATTAGAGCAGGGTCTCCACCTCCATGGGACGGAGGAGACCTAGACTCGGGAACCCAGAGAGCCCCAGCCCACCAATGCCAGGCAGCAGTCAGGAGCGGCTCAGGGCTCCCCATCCCTGTCTACGCCTCTGCACCAAGCTGGGGACACACAGTCCCTGCCCACTGTGGGACCCCCAAAGGCTCAAATGGCCACGGCTGCAACACAGGCCCAGCCTCCTAGTGCTCAGAGAGGCAGAAGCCCCCAGGCTCACGGACATAGCCAAGGCTGCTGGAGGCAGCGAGGTGGGAGTGGGGGATATCCGGGTGACGGCACAGGGCAGAGAGGATGGGCTGAGGAATCGCCAGGGCCGTTGGCACTGGGTGAGCCCTGGGGCAGCAAGGAGGGGGCTGGGGGCATTGGCACCAGGTGGATCCTAAGGCAGTGAGGGTGGGGGGGGTAGCAGGGACATCGGTATGGAGGGTGTCCAGGGCATTGGTGCCCAGGGCATGGGCAGTGACTGTGGCACCCCTGTAGCTGGTGAAGAAGCTGGTCCAGTCCGGTGACACCGCCTGCCTCCAGCCCACCCTCGATGTCTTCTGCCTTGAGGACCGGCAGCTGCTTCGAGGCCACTGCCACACCAGGGCCCTGGCCATCCTGCGGGCACGGCCAGTCGGGGCTGACGGCAGGGCCCACACCAAGGAGGCCATCGCCTACCTCTCTCTGGCCATCTTTGCTTCAGGTAGGAGCTGCCCACATGCCCTTAGGGCCTAGTCCTGTGCCAGGCATGAGGGTCATGGGGAACCTCTGCTATGCTGGAAGGCAGGGACACGCACACTCCCCAGGTACAGGAGCCTCAGGAACACCCACAGGGTGGACAGGGCAGGGACCACTCAGCAAGGGCATCTCACCATTAAGGTGGGTGCACCGAGGCCTGAGACCAGGCTTTGAGACCTGGGGCCTGAGCTGGGAACTGAGCTGTGCCCAGCACCCACATCCCTGAAGGTACAAGGGCCCCTTTCCCAGCTAATGAGGGGGAGGCGAGGTCCTTGATCCCCTCAGCCCTTCCTTGAAACAGTGACTGAGGCTCTGCCTGTGCACACTTGGCCTCCCCACCCTGGGACACCAAGCACAGGGGTGCTGCCTGCTTCCCGGAGTCAGGGCTGCTGGGCAGGGGGCACCAGGCACCTGGAAGGAAGGGGAGATTCCCCAGGACTTGCAGGGATCTCCCGGGGTGCAGGGAGCATGATGGTCTGGACCTAGATCAGGCTGCTGCAGAATCTGGCTGTGCACCTGGTGAGCACCCTCACTCTCCTCTCTCAGAGTGGGGCAGCAGAATAGTCCATGTGGGGTTGGAGTGGGGATTCGGTGAGCTCATTCGGGGACAGTGCCTGACACAGAGCACATGCCCTGCATGCATCAGCGGGAAAGTATCCGGCCTGGAGCAGCCCAGAGTGGCCCAGCATGTTGTCCCATGTCCATTACCATACAGACATGCAGAGGGGCGGGGTAATGACAGCCTCTTTGGGGAGGGGTCTCATGCCCGGAATCCAGGGGGCTCCTCCCAGGCTACCCCACATCCAAGCCCCCACCCTCCTGCTGCTGCCACTCCAGGCCCCGCCCCAGGACCCTGAACCCCTCCTTGCCCAGCCTCAGAGGCAACTGCAGTGCCCCCTCCTCTCGGCAGCACCCCCAGCTGTCCCCAGTCCTGGCTGGACTCCTCTTGCCCTGTAGCCCATGCTCCCAAGTCCATCCCGACTATCTCGGTGTGTCTTGCGGCCCAGTGCCCTGGAGGTCCCCAAGGTGGGCCCTGAAGCTCATGCACCCTCTGCCCTCCCCAGGTTGGGCAGGAGGGACACTGGGGGAAGGGCCCAGCACAGTCTCATCCTGACCCCATGCCCTCTTCCTGCAGGAAGCGAGGCAAGTGAGTCCCTCCTTGCCCGAGCCCGATGCTATGGGTTCCTGGGCCAGAAGAAGACAGCCATGTTCGACTTCAACGCAGTGCTGCGGGCTGAGCCAGGGAACGTGCAGGCACTGTGCGGACGGGCATTGGTGCACCTGGCCCTGGACCAGCTGCAGGTGCCGCCCCATTCCCCACCTGGGCCTGGGCAAGCAGGGGAGGGGGACCCAGGGTGCTGCCTTCCTCTACCCCAAGGAGACAGGGAGCCGGGTAAGCCGTCCTGAACAGTGAGATGCCCACTGAAACTTGTGCTCCCATCCCCACCTGTACTGCGGCTCATGGGAGCCTGGTCCCCACAAACCCAGTTTCTGGGAGTCCTGCCCTTTCATCCTCCCAGCCTCAGTCTGCATGGATAGACATGCAAGCCTTCGGAGGTACTAGGGGTCCTCCCCAGCTTCAATAACACTCAGTGCATGCAGGGGTCCCTCTGGGGTGTTGGCCAGGAGGTGTGCCCTTGGCTACACTGGTGGGGCTGCCTGGCCCCTGTGTTGAGAGGAGTTTGGAGGACATGCACAGAGGGAGTAGCTGCTGGCCTTGGTCAGCCATGTCTGCCACAGACAGGTGCAGGGGTGCAGCCCCTGGACCCTGATCTGAGCTTCATGTACCTGCTCTGAAGTTCAGTATCTATGCATTTAAGACTTTCTTCTGCAGAAACTGCTCCAAATTTAAAGTTGGAAGAGGGGCACTGGCAAGAAGACAGATCCCACTCAGCTGGGGGAGGCCTATGTGCTGGAAGATGGTTTCTGTTCTGTTTGTTTATGAGCATTCCTTTCTTGCAACTGCACTGAATTCCATGTTGTCTAACTCTGAGGGACTCACACTGGACCTGTGTGCTCAGCCCAAGCCTGTTGCCCTGAGCACTGTCTCTGTGGAGCCCAGAAAAGTCTGGTCCAGGTCCAGCTAAGCAACCGCAGCCAAATCACTTCACCTCCCCAGGCCTCAGTTTCCTCCACTGTAAAAGGAGGAGGGGGCTAAACAACCAATGAATTACAGCAGAAATCACAAAAGAAGTCAGACAATGCTTAGAGATGAGTGAAAAGGAAAACAACACACCCCACATCATGAGACACAGGGAAAGCAATGCTGAGGGGAAATGTATAGCTGTAAATGCTTCCATTAAAAAAGAAGAAAGATCTCAAGTCAGCAACCTATTTTATAACTTAAGAAACTAGAAAAAGAACAAATGAACAGAAAGAAAGAAAGAGAGAAAAAAGAAAGGAAGAAAGGAAAGAAGGGGAGGGAGGGATAAACTAAGGAAAGAAGGAAGGGAGGGAGGGGAGGAAGGGAGGGAGAAAGGAGATTACAGCAAAGATCAACAAAACAGAGGAGAATAAATAGAGAAAAATCAATGAAAACAAAAGTTGGTTCCTTGAAAAGATAAAATTTGACAAACCTTTTGCCAGGTGGACTAAGAAAGAGAAAATTCAAATCATTGAAACCAGAAATGAAAATGAAGTCATTATTACCCATTCTACAGAAATAAAAATAATTATAAGATAGTAATAGGACCAATTGTAAGTCAGCAAATCAGCTAATCTAGATGAAGTGGGCAAATCACTAGAAACACAAAACCTACCAAGACTAAATCATGAAGAAATAGAAGGTCTGAATAGACCTATAACTAGTAAAAAGATTGAGTCAGTAATCAACAATCTCGCAACAAAGGCCAGGACCTGATGGCTTCACTGGCGAATTCTACCAAACATTTAAAGAGCTAACACCAATCTCCAATCCTCAAACTTTTCCAAAAATTTAAAGGGGAAGGAACACCTCCTCATTCATTCTTTGAGACCAGCATTACCCTGCTACCATAGCCAAAGACACTACAAGAACCTACAGACCATTATCCCGTATGAATATTGAGGCAAAAATCCTCAACAAAATACTAACAAAACAAATTCAGCAATTGTTAAAAGGATGACACACCATGACCAAGTGAGATTTATTGCTAGAATGCAAGGATGGTTCAACATACAAATGTCAATTAATGTAATATACCATATTAACAGAATGAACGGGAAAAAATGATCATCTCGACTGATGCAGGAAAGCATTTGATAACATTCAACACCCTTTTATGATAAGAACACTCAGCAAACTAAGAATAGAAGGAAACTGCCTCAATATAAAATCCATATACGCAAAACCCACAGCAAACTCACTGGTGAAAAAGAAAAGCTTCTCTAAGATCAGGAATAAGAAAAGGATGATTGCTTTTGCACGTCTCCTCAACACTGCACTGGAAGTTAGAGCCAGATAAGTAGACAAGAAAAAAAATACCAATCATCCAAATTTGAAAAGAAATAAAATTATCTCTGTTCACAGATCTGATATGAAGAAATCCCTAAAGATTACACACACACACACACACACACGAACTGTTAGAACAAATAAATGAATTCAGCAAAGTAGGATACAAAGGCAACAGAAAAATCAGTTGCATTTTTGTACATTAATAATGAACAATTCAAAATGGGAATTAATAAAATACAGTCATCTCTTGGTATCCATGTGTGATTGGTTCCAGGACAACCCTCAGATACTAAAATCCCCACATACTCAAGCCCTGTGGAACCTCCAACCCCTAAATACAAAAAGTTGGCCCTCTGTATACAAGGATTTCACATCCCAAGAATTGATCTGCATTTATTTGGCTGTGGATTCAGAACCCACCAATACAAAAGGCCGACTATATTTATTGAAAAAAAATCACATATTAATGGACCCACATAGTTTTAACCCATGTTGTTCAAGGGTCAACTGTAATTCCATCTACAATAGCATCAAAAAGAATAAAATACTTAGAATTAACCAATGAGGTGAAAACTACAAAACATTGCTAGAAGAAATTAAAGAAGATGTAAATAAATAGAAATATTCCATGTTCATGGATTGGAAGACTTCATATTGGTAAGAAGTCAGTATTATTCAAAGTGATCTATAGATTGACTGCAATTCCTGTCAACATTTCAATGTTTTTTACAGAAATGGAAAAGCTAAAATCTAAAATTCCTGTGGACTCTTAGGGGACTGCAAACAGCCAAAACAATTCTGAAAAAGAATCAACAAGCTGGCAGTTTCACACTTCCTGATTTTAAAACTTACTACAAAGCTACAGTGATCAAAATAGTGTGGTACTGGCACAAAAACAGACACAGAGACCAATGGAACAGAATAGAGAGCCAGAAATGAACCCTCCCAAATATGGTCAAATGATTTGACCAAGACCATTCAGTGGAGAGGGACAGTCTTTTCCACAAATGTTGCAGGGAAAACTATGCAAAAGAATGAAATTGGACTCTTTCCCAACACCACATACAAAAATTAATTCAAAATAGATCAAAAAATCTGAAACTATAAATGTCTTAGAAGTAAACATGGTTGGGGGAAGCTTCACAGTGTTGGATTTGGCCATGACTTCTGGGCCACAACACCAAACACACAGGCAGCAAAAGAAAAAATAAAGTTGGATTTCATGAAAATTACAACTTTTATGCCCCAAAGGACACTATTATAACAGAGGAAAAAGGCAACTGACAGGATAGAAGAAAACCACAATATTTGAAAATCACAGATCAGGAATCAATATCCAGAATCCACAGAAAAGTCCTAAAGCTCAACAACAATAAAGCCAAAACCCAATTCAAAAATGAGCAAAGGACTTAAGTGGACATTTCCCTAAAAAAAGATACACACGGACACGGAGCACATGAAAAGATGCTGGACCTCACCAATCATCAGGGAGCACAGATCAGAACAACAGTGAGACACACCTCATTCCTGTCGGATGGCTACTGTAAAGTTTTGTTTGTTTGCTTTTTGGATTTTTTTTTTTTTTTTTTTTGAGGTGGAGTCTCACTCTATTGCCCAGGCTGGAGTGCAGTGGCATGATCTTGGCTCACTGCAACCTCTGCCTCCCGAGTTCAAGCAATTCTCTTGCCTCAGCCTGGATTACAGGTACCCACCACCACTCCCGGCTAGTTTTTTGTATTCTTAGTAGAGACGGGGTTTCACCATGCTGGCCAGCATGCTCTTGATCTCCTGACCTCAGGGGATCAGCCCACCTCAGCCTCCCAAAGTGCTGGGATTACAGGTGTGAACCACCGCACCTGGCCATAAAGTTTTTTAAAAAGAAAATAACAAGTGTTGGTGGGGATGTGAAGAAACTGGAACCTTCTGCACTGTTGGTGGGAAGGTAAAATGGTGCAGCACTCTGGAAAAGGGGATGGCCATGTCCCAAAAAGTTAAAAATAGAACTACCATATGACCGAGCAGTTCCACATCTGGGTCTGTACCCAAAAGAAATGGAAGCAGGGTCTTTCAGAGATATTTGTACACCCAAGTTCATAGATGGCAGCCTTGCTCACAAGAGCCTGGATGAGGAAGGCACCCAGGGTCCACTGATGGATGGGCGGATAAGCAAAACGGGGTCCATCCATACAATGGGGAAGTATTCAGCCTTAAAAAGGAAGGAAATTCCGGTACACTCTATGACATGGATGAACCTCGAGCACATTATCTCAGTGAAATAAGCAGCCACCACAAAAGGACAAACACTGTGTGATTCCACTTCTATGAGGTCCCTGGAGTCATTGAATCACAGAGCCAGGAAGTAAGATGCTGGGTGCCTGGGGTTGGGGGAGGTGAATGGAGAGTGTTTATCAGGGAGAGAGTTTCAGTTTGGGAAGATGAGCTGGTTCTGGAAAGGGATGGTGGTGATGGCTACATTACACATGTATATAATGCCACCAACTGCGCACATCAAAACAATTAAGAAGGTAAGTTTTACGTTATGTATATTGTACCACAATAAAAACAAGTTGGAGAAAGAGCAGGGTGGGTGCTGCCCCTCCTGGGGATCAGAGGAGGCACCCTGGGGATGTGCTCAGGTGCTGCCTGCCCCTCTCCTTCCTGTCTCCTACACAGCGCTCCCATCAACCTCCGGTGAATGCAGGTGGGGCGGAAAAGGAGTTGTGGCTGAAGAGTGGTTCCTTTAGCCTGTAAACAGGCAGGACACAAGGAATGTCCCCTGTGAGACCACTGGTCACCCTCTTGGGTACTAGCCTGAGCTGTCTACACAATAGGATGCAGGGCAGGGGCAGGAGGGGTCCACTCCCAGGTTCATGACAAGACATGCTCACCTGGGAATGTGGGCTGCTGTTCCAGCCCGTCGGATTCTCACCTGGGAGTGTGGGCTGCTGTTCCAGCCCGTCAGATGCTCACCTGAGGATGTGGGCTGCTGTTCCAGCCTGTCAGATGCTCACCTGGGAGTGTGGGCTGCTGTTCCAGCCCGTGAGATTCTCACCTGGGAGTGTGGGCTGCTGTTCCAGCCCGTCAGATGCTCACCTGAGGGTGTGGGCTGCTGTTCCAGCCCGTCAGATGCTCACCTGAGAGTGTGGGCTGCTGTTTCAGCCCATCAGATTCTCACCTGAGAATGTGGGCTGCTGTTCCAGCCCGTCAGATTCTCACCTGGGAATGTGGGCTGCTGTTCCAGCCCGTCAGATTCTCACCTGAGGGTGTAAGCTGCTGTTCCAGCCCATCAGATGCTCACCTGGGGGTGTGGGCTGCTGTTCCAGCCCGTCAGATGCTCACCTGGGGGTGTGGGCTGCTGTTCCAGCCCATCAGATGCTCAACTGAGGGTGTGGGGGTGCTTTTTCAGGCTGTCAGATGTTCACCTGGGGTTAGAGAATGCTGTCCCAGGCTGTCCGATGCTGACCTGAGGTTGTAGGCTGCCGTTTAAAACTATCAGATGCTCACCTGAATGTGAAGGCTGCGGGCCAGGCTGTCATATGCTTTCCTGAAGGTTTGCGTGTTGATCCAGCTTGTCAGATGCTCACCTGAGTATGATGGTGTCGTTCTAAGCAGTCAGATGCTCCCCTGGGGGTGGAGGGTGCTGCTTTAGGCTGTCAGGTGCCCACTTGGGGGTGGGGGTTCTGTTATGGCTTGTCACAAGTTCATCTGGGGGTTGGAGAATACCATTCCAGTCTGTTACACACTCACTTGGGGGTGTGGGGAGATGTTTTAGGCTGTCCACTGCTCACTTGCAAGTGGGGTGCCATTCCAGCCTGTCACATACTCACTTGGGTTTGTGGAATGCCCTTCCAGTCTATGAGATGCTCACGTGGGAGTGTGGGGTGCCATTCTAGGCTGTCAGAGGCTCACCTGAGGGTGTGGGGTTCTGTTCCAGGTTGTCAGGTCCTCACCTGTCATTAGAGAATGCTGTCTCAGGCTGTTACACTTTCACCTGGAGGTGTGGGTGTGATTCCAGGCTTCCTCATGCTCACCTGAAGGTGTGGGGTGCCATTCCAGGCTGTCTGGTGCTCATTTCATGGTGTGGAGTGCTGGTCTAGGCTGTAAGATGCTTACCTGGTGATGAAGGGTGCCATTCCAGGCTGTCAGAGGCTCACCTGTGGGTGGGTTTGTTTCAGACTGTGAAATGCTCACCTGAAGATGGCAACAGCTCTTCCAGGCTGTCACCTGAGCAGAAGTGCTGTTCCAGGCAGTTAGATGCTCATCTGTGGGTCGGGGAGTTGTTCCATGCTGTCAGATGCTCACCTGGGGTTATACTGTACAGTTTCCGGTTGTCAGATGCTCACCTGATGGTGGAGGGTGCTGTTTCAGGCTGACAGATGCATACCTAGGGTAGGGGAGCCATTCCAGGCTATCAAATGCTCACATGGGGATATGGGGTTTTGTTCCACACTACCAAATGCTTATTTTGGAGTGTGAGGTGTCATTCAATGCTGTCAGATGCTCACCTCGGGATGTAGAATGCTGTTTTATGCTGTCAGATCCTCACCTGGAAGAGTGAGATTCTGTTCCAGGTTGTCCAATACTCACCTGGGATTGGAGAATGCTGTTCCAGGCTGTCACATAGTCACTTGGGGGTGGGATGCTGTTGCAGGCTGTCAGATGCTCACCTGGGTGTGTGGAGTACCATTGCAGACTGCCTGATATTCACCTGGAAGTGTCGAGTGGTGTTCCAGGCCATCAGATGCTTGCCTTTAGGTGTGTGTTGCCATTCCAAGCTGTCAGCTGCTTACCTGTGGGTGGGATGCTGTTCCGGGCAGTCAGATGCTCACCTGGGAGTGTGGGGTGCCATAAAGGTGATCAGATTTTCACCTGGAGGTGTAGGGTGCTGTTTATGCTATCAGACGAACACCTATCTGGTACTGTGGGGTCTTGTTCCATGTTGTCAGATGCTTATCTGCAGTTGGAGAATGCTGTTCCAGGCTGTCACATACTCACCTGAGGGTTTTGGTATTGTTTCAGGCTGTAAGACACTCACCTGAGAACACTGGATGCTGTTCCAGGCTATAAGACACTCCCATGAGGGTGGTGGGTGCTGGTCCAGACTGACACACTCACTTGAGGGTGTTAGGTGCTACTTCAGGCTGTAAGACACTCACTAGAGGGTGCTGTGTGCTGTTCCAGGCTGTAAGACACTCACCTGAGGGTGTTGGGTGCTGTTCCGGGCTGTAAGACACTCACCTGAGGGTGTTGGGTGCTGTTCCAGGCTGTAAGACACTCACCTGAGGGTGCTGGGTGCTGTTCCGGGCTATAAGACACTCACGTTAGGGTGTTGGGTACTGTTCCGGGCTGTAAGACACTCATCTAAGGGTGTTGGGTGCTGTTCCAAACTCTAAGACACTCACTTGAGGGTGCTGGGTGCTATTCCAGGCTGTCACACGCTCACCAGAGGGTGTCAGTGCTGTTGCAGGCTATAAGACACTCACCTGAGGGTGTTGGGTGCTGTTCCAGGCTGTAAGACTCACCTGATGGTATTGGGTACTGTTCCGGGCTGTAAGACACTCATCTGAGGGTGTTGGGTGCTGTTCCAGGCTGTAAGACACTCACCTGAGGGTGTTCGGTGCTGTTCCAGGCCGTAAGACACTCACCTGAGGGTGTTGGGTGCTGTTCCAGGCTGTAAGACACTCACCTGAAGGTATTGGGTGCTGTTCAAGGTTGTAAGAAACTCACCTAATGGTGTTGGGTGCTGTTCCAGGCTGTAAGACTCACCTGACGGTATTGGGTGCTGTTCCAGGCTGTAAGACACTGACCTGAGGGTGCTGGGTGCTGTTCCAGGCTATAAGACATTCACCTGAGGGTGTTGAGTGCTGTTCCAGGCTGTAAAACACTCACCTAAGGGTGTTGGGTACTGTTCCGGGCTGTAAGACACTGACCTGAGGGTGTTGGGTACTGTTCCAGGCTGTAAGACACTCACCTGAGGGTGTTCGGTGCTGTTCCAGTCCGTAAGACACTCACCTGAGGGTGTTGGGTGCTGTTCCAGGCTGTAAGACACTCACCTGAAGGTACTGGGTGCTGTTCCAGGTTGTAAGAGACTCACCTAATAATGTTGGGTGCTGTTCCAGGCTGTAAGACTCACCTGATGGTATTGGGTACTGTTCCGGGCTGTAAGACACTCACCTGAGGGTGTTGGGTGCTGTTCCAGGCTGTAAGACTCACCTGATGGTATTGGGTACTGTTCCGGGCTGTAAGACACTCACCTGAGGGTGTTGGGTGCTGTTCCAGGCCGTGAGACACTCACCTGAGGGTGTTCGGTGCTGTTCCAGGCCGTAAGACACTCACCTGAGGGTGCTGGGTGCTGCTCCAGGCTGTAAGACACTCACCTGAAGGTACTGGGTGCTGTTCCAGGTTGTAAGAAACTCACCTAATGGTGTTGGGTGCTGTTCCAAGCTGTAAGACTCACCTGACGGTATTGGGTGCTGTTCCAGGCTGTGAGACACTGACCTGAGGGTGCTGTGTGCTGTTCCAGGCTAAAAGACACTCACCTGAGGGTGTTGGGTGGTGTTCCAGGCTGTAAGACACTCACCTGAGGGTGTTGGGTACTGTTCCGGGCTGTAAGACACTGACCTGAGGGTGTTGGGTACTGTTCCGGGCTGTAAGACACTCACCTGAGGGTGTTGGGTGCTGTTCCAGGTTGTAAGAGACTCACCTAATGGTGTTGGGTGCTGTTCCAGGTTGTAAGAGACTCACCTAATGGTGTTGTGTGCTGTTCCAGGCTGTAAGAATCACCTGACGGTGTTGGGTACTGTTCCCGGCTGTAAGACACTCACCTGAGGGTGCTGGGTGCTCTTCCAGGCTGTAAGACACTCACCTGAGGGTGTTGGGTGCTATTCCAGGCTGTAAGACAGTCACCTGAGGGTGCTGGGTACTGTTCCACGCTGTAAGACACTCACCTGAGGGTGTTGGGTACTGTTCCAGGCTGTAAGACACTCACCTGAGGGTGTTGGGTACTGTTCCGGGCTGTAAGATACTGACCTGAGGGTGTTGGGTGCTGTTCCGGGCTGTAAGACACTCACCTGAGGGTGTTGGGTGCTGTTCTAGGCTGTAAGACACTCACCTGAGGGTGTTGGGTGCTGTTCCAGGCTGTAAGACACTCTCCTGAGGGTGTTGGGTGCTGTTCCAGGCTGTAAGACACTCACCTGAGGGTGTTGGGTGCTGTTCCAGGCTGTAAGACACTCACCTGAGGGTGTTGGGTGCTGTTCCAGGCTGTAAGACACTCACCTGAGGGTGCTGGGTGCTGTTCCAGGCTGTAAGACACTCACCTGAGGGTGTTGGGTGCTGTTCCAAGCTGTAAGACACTCACCTAATAGTGTTGGATGCTCTTCCAGGCTGTAAGACTCACCTGACGGTATTGGGTGCTGTTCCAGGCTGTAAGACACTGACCTGAGGGTGTTGGGTGCTGTTCCAGGCTGTAAGACACTCACCTGAGGGTGTTGGGTGCTGTTCCAGGCTGTAAGACACTCACCTGAGGGTGTTGGGTGCTGTTTCAGGCTGTAAGACTCACCTGACGGTATTGGGTGCTGTTCCAGGCTGTAAGACACTGACCTGAGGGTGTTGGGTGCTGTTCCAGGCTGTAAGACACTCACCTGAGGGTGTTGGGTGCTGTTCCAAGCTGTAAGACACTCTCCTGAAGGTATTGGGTGCTGTTCCAGGCTGTAAGACACTCACCTAATAGTGTTGGATGCTCTTCCAGGCTGTAAGACTCACCTGACGGTATTGGGTGCTGTTCCAGGCTGTAAGACACTGACCTGAGGGTGTTGGGTGCTGTTCCAGGCTGTAAGACACTCACCTGAGGGTGTTGGGTGCTGTTTCAGGCTGTAAGACATTCACCTGAGGGTGTTGGGTGCTGTTCCTGGCTGTAAGACCCTCACCTGAAGGTATTGGGTGCTGTTCCAGGTTGTAAGAGACTCACCTAATGGTGTTGGGTGCTGTTTCAGGCTTTAAGACTCACCTGACAGTACTGGGTGCTGTTCCAGGCTGTAAGACACTGACCTGAGGGTGTTGGGTGCTGTCGTAGTCTGTAGGACACTCACATGAGGGTGTCAATGCTATTCCATGCTGTAACACACTCACCTGAGGGTGTTGGGTGCTGTTGCAGGATGTAGGACACTCACCTGAGGGTGTCAGTGCTGTTCCAGTCTGTCACCTGAGGGTGCTGGGTGCTGTTCCAGGCTGTAGGACATTCACCTCAGGGTGTCGGTGCTGTTCCATGCTGTAAGACACTCACCTAAGGGTGTCAGTGATGGCAGGAGGCTGCAGCCACGGGGAAGTGGGAAGGGGCAGGAATCCGGGTGTTCAGACCCTCTAGGACCCCAAGGAGAAGACCAGGGAATGAGAAAGATGGAGCCAGCCCTCCTGCTCTGCCCTCTGCCCAGTCTCTCCACCTAGGCCGACTCTGCTACCGCCCCGCCCTCCCTCCTTGCAGGAAGCCCTGGATGACTTCGTCTCTGCTCTGAAGCTTGGCCCTGAGACAGTGGTCCCCGAGCTCAGCTCTCTGAAGCCAGAAGCCCGGGCCCTCATCACACAGGGCCTCTACTCCCGCTGCCGGGCTCTGCTGAGCCAGCTGCCGGACCCTGGGGCCCCTCTCGAGGACAAGGACTCCCAAGGCCTCCTTGCTGTGGGGGAGGCACTGATCAGAATCGATGCACAGCAACCCCACTGGCACCTCCTCCTCGCAGACATTCTCACGGCACGAGGTATGCGGCAGCCCCAGAGTGGGGAACACAGGGTCTGGGCTTCTGTCCCCGTTCCACTGACCTCTGTATCCTTTTCTGTAAAATGGGAGAAAGAGACCTGGACCACAACTGCTTCCGAGGTATCTTCCAGCCCAATCCCATGATCTCTGGCCCTGCCCCCTGTGAGGCCTGGTGCGTAAAGAGCTCTCCGCTGCTTTACCCAGCTGGCTCTTTGCTTGTACAGAGGGGTGATCCTGGTCCATGAAAGGCCTCAGATACTTCACCCCCTCATTCATTCACGAACCTCCAGCCATTGTTTACCGGGTGCCCACGGGATGTCAGGCCCTGTTCCAGGAGGAACTGTTGTAAGCCCCATGTGCCAACATGTAGGTCTTTCCCGCAGGTTTCTACAGCCCCTGGTCATGTGGAAACCTTTCTCCACTAATTCCGAAGGGAGCTCTCTCTGCAGTCTAAATTTGCCCCCCAAGGGCTTTGGGGGCCCCAGGGCTGCTCCCTCCATGCCACTCGGCTCCAGTAGGCCCAGAGTTTGCCTCTAGTTGCCTGGGAGAGAAAGCAGCCCCTTCTAGTGTCCATGGTGAGGGGCTCAGCATCATGGAGTGGGGTCAGCGGTGAGTCCATGTGATCTGCCTGGAATCATGGTGCACCTCTGCTCCCAGCTCCTTCTGGGGCTGAAGTGAGTCTCACCTCTGATCCCAGCTCCTTCTTCCTGGGGCTGAGCCGTCATCAGCTCCCCCAGGCCAGCGTAGGGCGGAGAAGGAGCAGCCAGCAAGTCTCACCTCTCTTGCACTTCTGCCCCACCCCACTCACTGACTGTGACCCTGAATCCCTGACAGGCAGCTACGAGGAGGCTGGCACCCACCTGCAAAACACCCTACACTCTGCCCCAGCATCAGAGGCAGTCCAGGCCCGACTGGGCCTGCTCCGGCTCAAGAAGGGAGACGTGCCAGGGGCTGCACGGGACCTGCAGGGCCTGGCCGAGGTGGATGCCCCGGACCTCAGCTGCCTACTGCATCTCCTGGAGGCCTCAGAGCAGCAGAGCCTTGCCCAGGTGCGCAAAAGAACCCCACACACCCAACCTTCCCCAGCACACAGTCCTGAGACCCCTGGGCCCACCGCTCCAGCAGCCCTCTTCACTCTGCAGTTGGGTTGATTTTAGTTGGGTTTGGGGCACCCAGTTCTGGCCCAGGAAGACAGTCTCTAGCCACCTTAGCCCTACAATCTCACCGACCTCTCAGCCTCTTTATGTGGGGTGTATAAGCGACAGGTGACTTGAGTGCAAGAGAGGGAAGGGGACCCTGCCCTCAGGGCCAGACTGACCCAGCCAGGGGCACTTGCCTGGCAGGAAGCCCACCCCAAGCCCAGTGCAGGTGGGGAAAAGGCAGGCGGGGAGTAGGCAGGCTGGGAGGCCAAGAGCACAGCGGGCTTTGGGGTCCCAGGGACTCGGAACCCCGGTGGGGCCTGGGCAGGATTTCACCTCCTAATGCTTCGTGACACCAGCGGGTTCTAGCACTCGGGGGCCATGTAGGAAAACAGAAACCACACTAGGAAGAACAGACGGATCTCATGGAGGAGTCGGGGCTACACCAGCCTGAGGGGCAGTTGGGTGATAAGGAGGGAGAGCAGCCGCCCTGAGCTGAGGGGCAAGGCTGAGGTCGGGTTAACCCGATCTAGAGGAGGAGGCCGGGCTGGGGATCTCAGAGCTCCCAGGAGGGACTGGGGGGTTCCAGGGCTGCGCTGGGGGAGGAGGGCCTGGCGCGGGGGGGGCCTGGCTCCTGGTTGGAGCCATGGTCCCAGAGCCCAGAGGAGGCGGCTAGATGCGGTCTCCTGAGCGGGGGTCACAGAGCCCGGAGGCGGGGCTGGGCGGGGTCTCCCAGGCCGCAGACTGGTACTGGGCGGCGGCGTCCGGCGGAGGCAAGAATCTGCCGGACGCGGACGGTTGCCTGGAGACAGGGGCCTAGCGGAAAGTGAGCCGGAAGTGGCTTCGCCCCGCTTCCTGCGCCCCGCCCCGCTCAGGCCGCCCCTTCGGGGTGGCATTGCGCCTGCGCGGTCCGCGGCCCTTCCCCGCAGCTCCTGTGCGGCCTGGGGGCCCGCCCTCCTCAGGGAGCCAGCAGAGGCTGGCATGCAGAGGAGCTCTGCAGGGCAGGGGCCGCCGGGCTTTTAGGGCTGACCCCGCACTCTCAGCCTTTCTCTGTGTCCCCCATGCAGGCCGCAGCCCAGGAAGCCAGCACCCTCCTGGACACAGGGCAACCCGGGCGGGCACTGGGCTACTGCTCACTGTCTGTCCTGGCCGGTGGCGGCAGTGCATCTCACCTGCGTCTGCGGGCCACCTGCCTGGCCGAGCTTCGGGAGTTTGGCCGGGCCCTCAGGGACCTGGACTGTGTGCTACAGGAGGCTGCAGGGGATGGTGACCTCCCAAGGCGGGCAGAGGACTTCTGCTGCCAGGGCCGCCTGCTGCTCAGCCTGGGGGATGAGGCAGGGGCTACAGGGGCCTTTGCCCAGGCCCTGAAATTGGCGCCCACCTTGGCCCAGAACAGCCTATGTGAGCAGCCAGGCCGGGACCCCACTGCACACATGTTCCTCCTCCTCGGCCGGTGCTGCCTGGAGGAGCAGCGTCACGCGGAGGCCTGGACAGCAGCCGAGAGCGGCCTCCTGGTGGACCCCAACCACCGTGGCCTGAAGAGGCTGAAGGCCAGAATCCGGAGGGAGGCATCCTCAGGCTGTTGGCTCCAGTGACGGGGCTCGACCCTCTCCCAGACCTGATCACGGGGCCACCCTAGCACTTGCAACCAATGTCCAGGTCCTGGAGTGCACCCAGCTCCCCAAATTGGAGAGGTACCCACCCTGCCTCCCCACAACCCCTTCCTGGCCCTCTCCCATTCCCGTTCCCAGCCCTCCCCACTGCAGGGTCCAGCCCCACAGGGTCTCGTGGGTATTCTTTTGTGTGCGGAGATGACAGATCATAGAAAAGAAAGACACAAGACACAGAGATAATAATTGGGCTGGGCCGGGGTCCACTGCTACCAAGGCACAGAGTCCAGCAGAGGCCCCAATGCCTGGACACGCTGATATTTATTGTATACAAGGCAGGGGGGCAGTGCTGGAGAGTGACTCATCCTACATGATTGGTAGAGGCCAAGCAAATCACATACTGATAATATGTGGGGGGACGTGGGTCCAGTACAAGGGGCCCCTCCCTCTCAGGCAGCTGCTGCAAGGAGGGGAGGCACATACGTCAGTATCTTTCTATGCACTTATCAGAGAGATCAAAGGCTTTTAGGATTCCTGTATTCTTCTAAGAATTTACAAGGGAGCATCGGGTGGGAAAGTGGACGAGGATGGTGACCATCGGAGCTCAGCACCACGGAGAGGTGTTTAAGCCCCTGGATGTCTGTGGGTCGGCCTGGCTAGTGTCAGACCTTCCTCGAGAGCCGGATGGAGCAGTGTTCTCTGAACTCCCCAGTGAAAGGAAAATCCCCCTCATGGCCTGCAAAGCAACAGGTGCCTCCCCAGGCTCTGGCGTTACTGCAAAGCTTGCCTGCTAGGTAACAGGCGTCTTAACCTGGCGCTACTGCAAGGCGTTTACTCTCACCTCCTGATCACCTCTCACAACGTCCCTTCAGGTCCGAATTACATTTCACCCGGTTATTTCTATACTATAAGGCTAAAAATGTTCCTTCACTGTAGTACTAAAGCGAAGCTTAATAACCTTTGTAATGTAATAAGACTGAGCATATAATTCATTATGTGATTGCACCTAAGTCTAATTGGTGTCCTTGCTATAAGTAATCATTTATTATGCTATAACTAAGTAATCAGTAAACCTATTTGGTATAATTGCTATATATAAGTAATCATTTGTTACACTGGCACAGATTGTGCCTTCAGTCTCTTGCCATGGCACCTGGGCAACTTTCTTCCCACACCCCGCTTCCAGGCCCTCCCCACACCCCACTTCCCCACACCCCACTTCCCCACATCCCACTTCCCAGCCCCCAGCCCCAGCATGAGTCAGGGCTGGGCAGCCAGCCTCACACCTTGTTGCCTTGGGAAGGAGGGGCAGCTTCTTACTTGCATTAAGGGAGCATCCTGGAAGTTTCACAGTCCTACCACTAGCAACCCTGCCCCTGAAGTTGGGCGCCCGCACCTGGGGCTCAGACCTTGAAGAAGCAGGCCCAGGTCTTGTCCATGGCCTGGGGTCCTACAGGTTGGACAGGATCGATGCCAGACCCCTGGGGCTCTTGGGGAAGTGGTACCAGCCCCAGAAGTCCTTCCTTGGGTGTGAAGCTACCTTTTGCTCAGACCCCAGCCTGAGTCTTGTGCCAGCCTCCAGTGGAGCCTGGGCTCTCCCCATTGACAGAGCTGCCAAATGGGCCCAACCAGCCCATATCCCAAGCTGACTATTCAGGGTGCTTTCATGGGGGTGCCCTCCCCCCCCCACCTTCCCTGCTCCTCCCAGCCTCCTCACCTGGGACGTCCTGTCCTGTCTGTCCATGCAAGGCAGGGCAGATGCCAGCCCCGCTGAGGCTCCTCCACGGCCTCGGGACCTCTATTTCTCCCTCCCCAGGGGCTGCCCCCTCTGCCACTGGCTCACCTGGAGGGTCTCTCTCATCAGCCTTTGCCTGGCCTGGCTTCTTGCTGTGCTCTGAGTGTCTGCGTCCCCCCAAACCTCATGTGCTGAAGGTGATGGTATCAGAAGCAGTGCCTTTGGGAAGGTGATCTGGGTGGAACCTCATGAGTGGAATTCGTGTCCTTATAAGAGACTGCAGAGTGCTCCTGAGCCCCTCCACCATGTGGAGACACGGCGAGAAGCCGTCTGTGAGCCAGGAGGGACCCTCACCAAAGAGCAAGCTGTGCCTTCGTCTTGGGCTTCCAGCCTCCAGAACTGAGAGAAATAAACGTCTGTTGATGAACCACCTGTCTCTGCCATTCTGTTGGGGCAGCCCAGACAGACAAAGACATGCCATTTCCCCAGCCCACCACCTCCGCTCTGACACTGGTCCTAAGCACAGGGGTTGAGTTTCGGTTCCCCTTATCCCATCCCTGCTGGGGTCCAGCCCTGGCTTTGCCTGAAGGAGCTGCTCCAGGACTCAGCAGAAACCCACAATCAGCAGCCCCTCAGCGTGCTCTGTGGGTGGGGATCCCTTTAGGTCTGCACACTCAGCAGGGTTCCAGGAAGACATGGATGCACTTGTCCCCGAGGCCTGGATGTGGCACCTGGAGGGGCATGTCCATGGCTGCTCTGGCCGCTTCCCTGGGCAGTCCCTGGCCTGCCTCTTCCTCAGTGCTGAGCTGGAGGCGGAGAGAAATCAAGCCTGGACGGAAGGAACTGTGCCCTTGCCTTGCACAGTTCCTGCCTCGACATGACACTAGGGACATTCTGGCATCTCCCCTTCAGTAACCTTAGACCACCAGCAAATCCAGATTTCATTCAACCGAGTAAACTGGTAGAGTCATTTTCAGCCACTAATGTGAGCCGGCACATTAAATTCAGAATCTCTAGTCAGTAACCCGCATCAATAATGCCAAGCCATCCAGCTGCGTTAATACGCTCCCTCCATTCCCATGTGGTTCCTGGGAATCGGCGTGTGAATTCGAGGCATCTCACAGGCATTTGGTGTGAAAATGGTTTCCTCCTGAGTCAGGCTTTGTACTTGACCCTTCCCCTCCCTGGGAGCAGGGTGAGGTTCTAGAGGCCACGGGTGGCTCTGGCGTTCATGAGAATGAGCGTCATTTCTTATCACAGGGTTTTCCAGTGAAAATAAAAAATAAATAAAGGCTACTCTCAGACTCCAGAGGACAAGCTGCTTCCCCTGGAAGGAGAGGCTCAGAGAACCAAGAGGTTCACAGTTCCCAGCTTCATCTGAGCCCAAAAGGACACCCCCATTCCAAGCTTCAGCGTCCAGTTCCTTCCCACTCAGTACCCAGGTCTCGGTGGTGAGGTGGTGAATGCGCACGAAGTGAATGCACTGCTCACACTGCAGTCACACGCTCAGAAGTAGACTGCATGGAGTTTACTTCTCAGTGCCCAGGTCTTTGTGGTGAGGCGTGAATGTGAGGCACACTGCAGTCACACACTCAGAATTAAGCTGCGTGTCCGAGTTTCAGTGCCCAGGTTTCAGCGGTGATGCTGTGAGTATGAGCCACACTGCAGTCACACACTCAGAATTAAACTGTGCGTCCGAGTTTCAGCAGCAGCAGCAGCAGCCCCGAGCCTCTAAGGAACAAGGAACTCTTCTGTGGCCATGGCAGTCCTGATGCTCCGGCTGTGACTTAAGCTAAGTTTAGAGACCTGAACGTGTGGCTCCTTCCTGTTAGTGCTGCTGGACACCCAGGGGACCCCCACAGCCCTTGCGGTGGTGGCCCTCCTCGTGGCTGCGACAGCCTCGCGCAGCAGCACCTGGGCTCCCAAGGCCCTCAATACTGCTGGTACCTCGTGGCCAGCACAGGGTACAGCTCGGTTAACCGTGAAGCTCCCGCATGCTGCGGGCAAAGAGCCTCCCCTTCCCCGTGGCCAGGAGCTCGGGCCTGCAGCCCAGCGTGAGCAATCACCACACTAACCTAACCCCCAGACCTCACCTTTCGTTGGTGACGGGAGACAGACGAATCCTAGGCAGACAGGCGTGTTCCCAGCAAAACTCCACGTCCATGCCAAAGGCAGTTTAAAGCCTGAAAGCCAATTTGTAAGTAAACTTTCGATGCCACAAAAGAAACAGCACTTGAAGGTATGTCCTCTCAGCAAGGCAGTTTACTTCTATAGAAGGGCGCAGGGCGCAGGGATGGAGCAACAGTGGCTGCCGCATGCTTAGACAAGCAGGGAGGAGTACATACGCCCGACGGGGGGTCATTCCTACAGCCGTGGCATCCCCTATTGGCTAGGGTTAGACCGCACAAACTAATCTGATGGGCTCTTTTGAAAAAAGCAGGGGTCCAAGCTGGAGTGGCAGGGTGAGTGTTTTGGCGGGAAGGATGGTGACAGGTGTGTCAGGCAGCAGGTAGCCTGGGTGATCGGGTGACCGGGATGATTCAGGATGGAGCCTGGGGCAGGGGGAGCCGATGTGAACATTCAGTTTGGAGAAGGTTGTTTACTGGAATTACAAGGAACTTAAACTTTAAAACACAGAATTAAAGAATAAGAGAGCTGAACACACTGACATACTGATTCTCTGAAGAGAAACAGGGTTCACCATAACACCAAGCTACAAATTAAATGCTCAGACCAGACTGAGAACTTGTCCGGCACTGAGCATGCTTTCCTCTGACTGACCTCACCGTTCCCGTTTCACATGGCCCCACCCCTTCCTAACTGGTTTTCTGCACTGTCGTGTCCACCTTGAGTGGTGCTTTTGGTTAAGACTTTTTCTGCACTATCACAAGCCACTCAGCACACACTCCCCCATTCTGAGCCTGTAAAAGTCACAGACCCGGCCACACTGGGAGAGAAACCACCACTGTGGGGTCCAGCCCTGCTGGGTCTCGAGGGTATTCTCTACGGGTGCAGAGACAAGACACCATAGAAATAAAGACAGATGCACCAAGATCGAGAGAAAAAGAGCTGGGTGCAGAGGAACCCCACCACCACTACGCGGAGACCCGTAGTGGCCCCAGTGCCTGGACACTCTGGCTTTTACTGGGTACAAAACGGGGGTAGGGTAAGTAGGGCGAGTCCTCCACAGTTACTGACAGGGTCAAGCAAATCACATGTCTAAGGAACAAGGGGCCCAGGGCTTGCAAGGAGCCGAAGTCGGGAGCAGGGGGATGTGTCAGCTCTTTACGTTATGCCATCGAGTAAGAACAAAGACTTTAAGAACTATTCGACTCCTTACTGTCTACAAAAGGGGAACCAGGTGCAAAAGCAGGGAGTGAAAGCAGACACAGACTGTAACCACAGACACAGCACCACACAGAGACGGTGAAGCCCCCAGTAGCTGTGGTCAGGCTTACTGACAGCAGCCCTTCCACGAGAGCCTGGGGGAGTGGAGTGTTCTCCAACTCGCCTGAGGACAGGGATGTTCCCTTCCAAGGTCTGCTGAGCAACGGTTGCCTCCCCAAGCACTGGCACTCATGCAGAGATTTTAGGTGCCCTCCTGATGCAAGTGTGACAGGGCTGGCCTTTGGCATTCAACAGGTTATCTCCTCTGGGCACCTCCAGTCGATGTTTGACAGGTATCAATGCTCTTGCCTCACGCCACATTCCATCGTGTCCCCATCAGTCCCTGACCACAGCAACTTGAAGTTCCTAGATAATCATGGATGAAGTCCAAGAAGGCTTTAATCAAGCCTTAATGTTAATAAGATTAATATCTAATCACTCACGCTACTTACTCCTCAACTAGACTCCTTTCTATTTTGCATTTATTAAGCAGGAAACTGCCGAGGCTTCAGTCTCGGGCTTCGGCACTTACGGGACTTTCCACCCATAACCTGAGTTCAAGTGAGGGACCACCCCGACATCGCCTCTCTGCTGAGAGCTGTTCTGTCACTCAATAAAATTCTTCTCTGCCCTCCTCACCCTTTGACTGCCAGCATCTCCTCATTCTTCCTGGACACGGGACAAGAACTTGGGAACCACTGTTCATGGATACAAACTGTAACACAAGCGGGCTGGGGCACACCCAGCTCGGCCACAAGCTGAGCTGGTGCACAAGCCAGGTGTGGCCCAGGCAGGCTGCATGGGCGGGCCACCTCCCGCAGCAGGCAGCATGGTCGAGCGAGGCCCCAGCGAGTGCATCACCAGCCAGAGGTAACCGGCTGGCAAAGTGACCAAAGAGGTACCTGACTGTGTCACTCTGAGGGTCTGTCTTCTGTGTCACTTTGAGGGTCTGTCTCCAGGTACCCCTCTAAGTACATGTTTATGTGTCACTTGGGGTCTACTTGTGAGACGGAAGCCACAACTGTGATTCTAATAGCATGAATTCAATGTGCAGAATTGTTCACTAGCTCTGGGTAAAAACAGCTCTAGGGAATCATGGAAGCTGCAACCACAAAATTCAGACAAGTGACCTGGCTGGGGCACTGGTGACAACCGTCACCTGCCACACAGCCTCTCAGCTCAGGTGGCCACACTCCTCTGCACCTGCCCCCTTCCTCTCTCAGTTGAATCTTGACCACACCTTTGCCTGGCACTGTGCCCACATTCACTTGCATTTAACTCTGCAATAAATCTACCAAAAAAAAAAAAGAATAAGAAAAAAAACCATTTTTAGGAGAGTGAAAGGAAAATAAATCTTGAGGCCCCAAAAATCACCAAGCCAAAGGGAAAGATCAAGCTGAGAACTGCTTAAGGCAAAGCTCCCTCCGCTGCTATTCAAAGTCATTCCCCTGCTCACTGAGGTAGAGGCATATCTGACTTCCTGCTTTGGAAAGGCTAATCAGAAACTCAGAAGAATGTAACTTCATCTTACACCTGTTGATTGATGTCTCAGGTCTCCCTAACATCTAAAACTGAGCTGTGCTCTGACCACCTTGGGCATAAGTCCCCAGAACCTCCTGAGGTGTGTCACAGGCGCACATTCTTAATTTTGGCAAAATAAACTTCCTAAATTGACTGAGACCTGTCAGATATTTGGAGTTGACAGGTGAGGTAGCAGAGGCTCCAGCAACTGGGGATAGACTGGTGGCTCAATGACACAGAGTTTGGGGCAGCAGAGCCACCAGGCCCCTTCCCTCTTGTCCTGGATCCCCAGGGCCTGACTTCAGGAGGTGGCTGGCAAGGAAGGTGGGGGATCCCAGAGGCCTGGCTGTCGTGCCAGCACCCTGCGTGCCTCAGAAACATTGGCGACCTTTTTCCAACTTGTGCGTCTTCTCTAAGTGGGGCACCTCATGCCTCCCCAGAGTGTAGCTGGGCAGACCTGAGGGAGAGGTTCTGCTCCCACTGGGCATGGCTGGGCTGCAGCAGAGCACTGGACCTGCC